ATGGTAGTGTGGAACATAAATGGGATAGCTATGACAACACACATTTCTTATGTTGGTTTTCCAACAGAAGTGGACTTTTGCTTCCAGCAAGGTCAAACATCTACTGCTCCAATAACATACAAATTGTCTGTTAAAGGACCTATTGAACTAGCAACTGAAAACGTACCAAAGCCACTTATTGGATTTATGAGGGATTGTTGCTTTGCAATACAAGTAAGACAGTCAGGCATACCAATAATAAGACTTGACGACTATAACTTAGCAACTGACGACAGTGAGGAATAAAGGATGAACGTTTATTTTTAAAGCTTATAAATGAGTTCTTCATCAAGCTCTCGCGAACCTTCACCATCTATGAAACAAACTTTACCAAACGATTATGGAGCACCTATTGAATATTCTTTACGAGCTGCACAATGGCAAAGAGCAGTCTCACCAAGGTTAGGTGTTCCACCAGCTCCTGTCAAAAATAGCATTTGGTCAAGTCCTTATATAAAATATGGTCTCCCACTAGGTTTGCTAGCTACAGCAGGAGCAGTAATGATGTTGAAAAGAAAAACAAAGCAAATGTTATAAATAATACTGAAGTAGCTGAATTTGAACAAACTCCGACACCATCGCCAAAACCAACGTCAAAACCAACGCCTTCACAAACAACACCTTCAATGACTCCTGAACCTATGAAAGTACAAACTCCTGTTCAAAAGTCAACTCCAAAACCGACTCCAACATTTAAACCAGAACCTACTCCTCAAATAAATCGTAAAACTCCTGCGTTTCCTTACTGAAAAAATAATGTTAGTTTTATTTTATTTGAACATTTTATTTAGAGTAAAATGACGACTAAAGTCACTGAAGCAATGAAACAAAAATTTTTGGTAGAATACATTAAATCAGGAGCGGTTCCAGAGGTTTTTACGTTCATACTATGAAAGGATGGTAGAGTTCAGTTTAGAAAGATAAAGCAACCATTAGATAGAGAAGGTATATTAAGGAAGATTAAACTTCATGAGGACAACATTGCTGAACTTAAGAAGAAGTTAGAAGAGTTGGAGAAAGGAAGAGAGTTATAAAGCAATGAGAACGTTTATGTTATGAGAAATTTTTAACGTTAGTTTTATTTTTACTGAAAATTTTTATTTGGATGTAATGACGAAAACTATTGAGATAACAAACTACAACGGTCATGAGTTCAAGAACTTGTTCTTCGTTCCTCGTGAAAATACATTCTATCAGATACGAGGGAGAAAGGGTAAAGTTAGTTTAAGCATTTATGACAACAAACATAATGGGAGATATATAAAAGCAATAGATACAAACGGTAAGCGTGTTTCATTAGCTTTGTCAAAACTTACAGGTATAAACTATGACAGTGATTTTGACCTATATGAAGAAGAAAGTGAGTCAGAAGATTATGAGCTGTTATGTGAAGCACAGCAATGGGAGGAGTTGCAATACTTTTGTAAGTGAGAACGTTTATTTTTTACATTAGTGAGGTGAAGTGGTTGGCGGCTTTGTAAATATTTAAGGTTAAGTTAGTGTTGTCATTTGTGTTGTAAAATATACGTTAACGGTTTTGTAAATATTTAAGGTTATATTGGGTAAGGTGGAACGCAGTGCCGCCGTACCCAAGATAACCATACTAACTAAGCAGACTTGCAGTCTATATGTTGGACCCAGATATTTCAAATGCTTTAGCTGCCAAATATATTGCAGTTCCACTTATGTTCCCTATACACCAAATATCTGTCAAAGACTTTGCAGGTGAAGTTGGAAACCAAAGTGCTGACCCAGGTGCAAGAACAGATATTGCCTTAACAACTGCAATGAAACATGCAGATACTCTGTTTGTACTGTTCAGACGAACTATAAATGACTATTCTTGTTTCTACAACCCCGGTATTAAATATCATATAAACATAGATGGCAAATATTATCCAAGAGAAGAATATTCCACAGTTGAGGATATGAGGTCATACAACTTGACATTAGATGCTATGAACTTTAACAACAACTTCACAACAACCATTAACCCTGAAATGCAAAGTTCTATTATGCCATATGTGAAAGTATGGACCCATACAGGAGGTCAAAAAACTCAATATACAAATGGAGACCGTTCAAACTTTTGGCTTGGCATTCCATTTGCTGACTCAGAAGACTTTATGGGTGGTATTTCAACTGTTGGTACAGTTCAAATACAATATACTGGTGACAGAGACGGTCCAGATGAATTGAGAGCAAAGAAGTTTACAAAACCAATAGCACTTTTCACGGAAGATGCTCTTTTGAAGATTCTTCGATGAAACCTGCTGGGGCTCCTCAGATTGGCATAACGACAGCTTCCATCGAGCAGATTTTGGCAGCAGGTCAGTAAGTTGTTCTTGAACTGACTTCTCTCGTCAAATATTGACAGTACGCCAGTTTGACATAGTATTGTATTAAACTTACCTTTAGAAATATCGTCAGTTTTGTTGTATATTTTTGTTCACGTCAAGAACTTTCACCATCTCGTTATACCAACTTTCTTTGCTTTATGAAAATATTTTGTTCAGCAAAGACTGCTATTCTATAACATTTTTCCATTGTTTGTTAAAGAACTATTCTGTCAATGAACTTGTATTGTTTGTGTGTGTAAACTTTGTTCTGCTTCAATTCGAAGAGATACTCAAATACGGTCCATCTTTTTATTCTAAGTAAAATGTCATTTCCGAAAAATAGAAGCGTAAGTGTTTCAAAAGGTTTAATGCGGCGGGGCAGATGTGAAGTTAAATTCACCAACTCAAACAAACAGTCAAAGTGTTGTTGTCAATGTCAAAGAAAGAGATGTTGAAGTGGGGAAACCATCGAAGACGAAGATGGTTATAACAATAGTTCCTGTAAAAGAACAACCAACATATCCTGAAGTTAGCAGAGACTTAAGTTCTGTTGCAGATATTCGAAACGACTACCAACAACTGAAAGACAAACTTCAAACTCAGGAGAAGATTTGTCAAGCTTTGGGTATAATGTTAAACTTGGTCGAACACAACCCTGTAAAAGTGAGACTCATATGTCATTGCACCTCATGAATTTTGAAAGAACTATTGAAACTTTTGACAGAGGCAGACGATATAAACATCAAAGAAATAGAACCCGACATTAGTTGCTGTGGGTGTTCATATAATGTCATTGACAAGATATACGTTATGAAAGAGGTGAAACGTTGAACTTAAATATAGTTTCCCAGACGTCATAAAAATATTTGACGACCACAACATTTCATTAAAATTTATTTTAAGTAAAAATGTCAAAACTTCTTGAAAGATGTTGAAGAAAAATAATATAGACTTTATTTCATGTAAGGACTTTACACACTTTTGAACGATATGAAAGACCCTGTTTGTTTGTTCGTGTAGACAAAGGAAAGTTCTATGTCTTTACAAAATATTTGAACTTCTTAGACAGAGAACTTCAAGAAACGCCATGTGAAAGTTTAGATGAAGTTTCTTCTCCACTTTCAGAAAAACTTTTAAATATATATAAATGGCAGAAGACATAATGGTTTATACTATTACGACTAAAAACCCTGAGTCATATAATTCTATAACAACAAACTTACAAAGTCCTCAAGGACGATATTGTAAACTAACTTAAACACAATGACGACTAAAGCCTGTTTTGCTCTTTTGACACCAGAAGACTTTATTGTTGTGAATGGTAAAAAATACTCCTTTGAAGATACTTACTCAGATATACCACCAACAGGTTTTGTTGACTTATTTAATACTTTAAGTACGAGTGTAACATGTGCTGCAACTAGAGCAGGTTTCATTATGTTTGGATGTCCGACTGAGTTTACTATTAAACGATATGAGCTATAATACAAAAACTTATTTCTGGTTTTTACTACCAACAGTTTCCTATAACAGGAAAAGGTGTCATACAAGGAATGTCTATTCCATTGACATTAAGCACACCAATCTTATATATTGTTTCAAACTTAGGTTCAAAGTGTTATTCGAATGTCGACAGAAACTATTATGACCAAAAGATACTTATGCGTATAAACAATACTTTCTCTGCTGGTTTGCCTATTGTTCATTCGAATGCAGAATTTTCAACCTTAGTGAACTCAAACACTTTGGCAAGTATAACGTTGACATTAGTTGACGCAAACTTTGTTCCTGTAAAACTTTTATGTCCTATGTATTTGTCAATGACGGCAGAAAGTTTCGAATTGGAAGATGCAACTGGTGAAAGTATTGTATTACAAGAACAACTTCAACAACAAATAGCTCAAGAACAACAAATGCAACAAATGAACAACAAAGTCAAGAATAAAAAAAAATATTTTTTTTTATTTTTAAAAAATGTACAGAATAGATGTTTCAGATTTTTATGACTTCCAAGCATTCAGAAATATGTCCATTTAGAGACTATAACAAAGCAGTCGAGAATTTGAAACGTTTAGTCATTTATGTTGACTCTGCCCCAGAATGTTATGTCATGAAAGAATGGGATGTTGTCTTTAACAAACCAAGAGCAACAATAGTTCAGAACAAGAATGTAGACAGAAACTTAAGAAAATAAAAGTCGTACAAGTTGGCATGAAGATGTTAGATGCTTGGGATATCTTATTGTCAAAGTTAGAAGATTTTTCAGTTCGAGGTATAAAGTTCTATACACCTTCTCCAAACTTCTATTCTATCTTCACTGGATATAAATACGAACAAGTAGAATGGAAAGAAAATATTATAGAAGCTTGGTTAGACCATGTCAAAGAAATTATATGCAATGGAAACGAAAGAGTCTATGAGTATATCTTATGTTGGTTTGCAAATATCTTACAACATCCAAGTGCTAAAAATGAAACTGCTCTCATTATAATTGGAAAACAAGGAACTGGTAAGAACACATTCTTTACAGATATCTTATGCAAACTATTAGAAGGTTATTCGAATCCGAATATGACAAACTTAGAAAACATCTGCGGTAAATTTAACTCTTCAATTGAGAATATGAAACTTATAGTTTGCAATGAACTTCAAAGTATAGATACAACAAAAGTTTTGAACTCAGATGCTTTGAAGAGTCTTATAACAGATAAAGTTGGAGTTGTTGAAAGAAAATATAAAGACCAAAGAGTTTGTGAAAATGTTGCAAACTTCATTATGGTTTCAAACAATACTGTTCCGATGAAGTTAGAAAGTTCTGACAGAAGATATGTAGTTGTCAGAACGTCAGATTCTCATATGCAAGATACAGAATATTTTGACGACTTAGCAGAAACTTTGACATCTGACTTTTACAACCACTTGTTCTCATATTTCATGACATTAGATATTTCTAAGTTCAATCCAAGACAAATTCCACATACCGAAGAGAGACAAACATTGTTAGAAGCAAACAAGAGTGTATATGAACTGTTCATAGATGAAACTGACTTTGTGTCATTAGATGAAAGGTCATTGTACGATTCGTATAAACAATATTGTCAAGAATATGGTTATATGGCAGCTTCTAAACGAACATTCTTGGCAAATGTCAAAAGTCTTTTAGATGTTCAGAATGGTGTATATACAAAGAAAAATTTTTCTGAGTAAATTTTAAAAAAAATATTTTTTTATCCGATAAAAAAGATGACAAAATTCATCTCAGTAAATAAGTACATGACAGAAGTCAAAGATAAGTTAGCTCCATTCGCATATTTGAATGTTTACTTCTACAATTTTGAAAAGTCTACATTTGACAAAATTTGGAACATTGCACCAGTTAAGTTTGCTGTTGTTAGAAAAAGTGGTGCAACTTTTGAAGACTTAGACATAGAAGGTTTGTTAGCAGTCAAAGAAAATTTTGACAGAAAGTTCTCAAAACTCGAAGAAGGCAAAGCATACAAACTTGTTATACCTTATGAACCAAAGAAAGCAGACGACAATGAATATTATGAGTCTAAGATAGTTGAAGTTCAAGGTAAATTGGGTAAAAAGATTTTAGAGTCTAAGCCAGTGTTTGCCCCTAAAGAGGAAGAGAACATTGACATTGACCCAGAAATGTTCTAAAAATAAAATTTTATTTTTACATGTCATATCTTACCTTCTCTGGAACTGGTTCAGGTTCTTTCTTCTCTTCTACTTTCTTTTCTTTCTTTTCTTTCTTTTCTCTCTTCTTCTTTTCTGGTGGAGTTATGTCAAATTTGGCGCAACCATATTTATGTAAAAGTTCTTTGTCCTTTAATAGCTCATTTATTCTGTTTTCTATTTCATCTTCAAGAACAGCGCATGTGTCTTCTTTGCATTCTAAGAAATTTTGTTGGACTTCATCTTTCCAAGAGGCGTCATCTCTGTCAACAAGTCTGTCATTGACAAATTTTAAGACTTCTCTGCCTAATGTTTTATGGTTCTTGTCATATTCCCAGAAACAGAACTTTAGAACAAATTCACCTTTCTTGTTTACACTATGTAAGATTTTATGGTCGACAGAAGTTTTAGAGTCAAAAAGCTTGTCTCGAATATAGATAGCGAAATCACTAGACATTTTCTAAAAGATAAAAATTTTAATTTTTCTAAAAATATGTTAGAAAAAAAGTTTGCTGACATTGACAAGAAATTTGAGAATGTTTTGAAGAAGAACAAGAGGAAGTTAGAAAATGCTCAGATAAAGCCTATACATGAAAAGTTCTTATTTGCTCAGAATGGTATAACAGGTCTAATCGCACCACCTGGGTCGGGTAAGACTTTCACTTATCTTAAAATGGCTGCACAACAACAAGAACTAGATGAGAAGAACCCATTCTATGAGTTAGTTGTTATTTGTAGTACTTCTGGTCAATTTGACCAAACCGTCAATTCGTTCAAAGATATTATAAAGAAGTCTAAGTTAGTATGTATAAAGGATACTGAGTTGTTAGATTGGATAAAGAAGTACCAAAGAAGAGTTTTGAAGTACAATGCTATAAATGAGTATATAAATTCGAAGTTTAAAGACCCAAATGAGGAAATGCAGAGAATATTAGAGAAGAAACACTTCAGAAACAAACAGAAAGAGATAGAATACATTTCGAAGAAATTGCAATCTTACGATTGGAAGACTTACCCTCATAGATGTCTTCTTATCTTAGATGACTTTGCTTCTCATCCTTTGTTAAAGAACAGAGAACAAGACATGTGTCGAATTCTTAAGAAGCTCAGACACTTTAACATCTCAGTCGTAATATGTGTACAGACAGCAAAGAGTTTAAGTAAGGATGTTAAAAGAATACTTACTGACATTATACTTTTCCCCGGATTGTCCGAAGACGATTTCATGGAACTTATGAAAGAGTCCATGGCAGGTAAGTTTGACAGACATGAACTATGGGAGAAGTACAAAGTCATACAAGACCCTCATACTTCTTTCAGAATTCATATCTACGCAAACAAAGTTCAAATTGTAAAAAGTCAAGCTTGAAAAATAAAGAGTTTTGGCGACCAGGGTTTTTTCACTACTCGCTGTTCTTCACTGTTTTCATGAGTTTTAGGCGACTGCGGTTTTTTACTTACTCGCTGTTCTTCACGATTTTCATGAGTTTTAGGCGACCCCGAAAGAAGTCGGGCTCGCTGTTCTTCTCTGGGTTTTCCGAGGGAAGCAAGCATATGAGGAAATTCATGAAATTTCATACGGAATTCAATAAAAATAATGTTTATGTTAGAATGTTAGATCTAACATGTTTTCTAACATGTTTTCTAACATGGTCTAAAACATACAAAACTCATGAAATTTCATACGGAATTCAGCAAAAATAATGTTTATGTTAGAATGTTAGATCTAACATGTTTTCTAACATGTTTTCTAACATAACTATTTACAAGCGTTTTACATGGTATATGTTGCGATGGTTCATGACTCTAAACAATTTCGTAGCTTCTATTTCTTCTGTCAGTATGTCAAAAGTTTTAACGATACCGAAAGTTTCTTTATACTTCTTCTTGACGTCAGATAGAAGGAAATCGTCAGCAGTTGGATAGTTTTTGTTCAGAAATTCTAACATGTTCATTTTATCTTCTGCTGGTTTTTCTGCTTCTTTCTTTAAATCTGCATAGTCGTTTCGCATACGTTCTATCTCTTTGACGGAGTAGTTATATTTCCTCATTGCTGCTTTACATTTTGAACATTGCGGATTCATTTTTGCGTTATATTCTGAAACCTTACCTGCTAAAACAACTAAGGCGTCAATGGTTTTCTTCATCTCGAACATAGCGGGTCTTATTTTCGTTCCATTACCTTACCCCTACTATCTTTATCTCTTATTTCCCAAACACATTTTGCAACTAAAAACAAAGTTGTCGTAGGTCTTAAATTCTTCGGATTTGTAAAGGTCAGAGATGTTCTTATATACCATGTCGCAATCTTTGTCCATAACCTTATGGTTGCAATGAAAACCAAGGAATTCATAATTTACCTTTCGTATGAACTTCTTTATTTCTACTGAGTCAGTTGCTTTGACTTCTATTTCGTCAAATTTCGGGAATGGTTAGTTTTTGTTGTTGGATTTCAGGCAATTTGGGTAAATGGTCAATAATGTCCTGCATTTCATAAAGATACTGTTCATTTGTTTCATCTTTCGCACTACAGTCTAAATTACTTGTTAAAAGTTCTTGCTTTATCTTCTGGATTTTTGTTTCGAAAGTATATGAAGAAGGAATGAAGTTTTTCATCTCTACTAACATAGATGTTGGATTCATAACTAGCGAGTTTGGTGCTGTAGTTGTTTGAATTGTTGTTGTGCCGATTGTTGAAATCATGTCTTTTATACAAATAAAAAAAATAAATAAAATAAAAAATAAAACTAATTTTATTTTTATTTCGGGAAAATTCATGAAAATTCAAAGAGTTTTAGACCATGTTAGAAAACGTGTTAGAAAACATGTTAGATCTAACATTCTAACATAAACATTATTTTTGCTGAATTCAGCAACAAAATTCAAATTGTAAAAAGTCAAGCTTGAAAATGTAAGTGTTTAGTCTTAGTAAGATGGTAGCTTCTTAAAGCAAATACCATTGCTGAGTTTTATGTACGTGAAGAGAAGTACAATGAATTCAATTACGAGTACAATTGCAATGACAACTAAGGCAACTATTTTTGTCTTTTGCCAGCAAGGGTACTTCTTCTCTTCCAATGGTTCGGCAGAACTATACTCACTCATGAGAAATGCCAAAACGGTTTAATAGAAAAAGTGTTATTTTTCATGTCCGAAGACTCGAAGGTGCAACACTTCCAAAATACCGACGAACTCAGAAGAGCAGCATGGCAGTATCTTCTTGACAACTTTTTTGAGTTCTCCAGGTACACCTTGGAAAATGCTGAAGAACTCCGACACAGAGAATTTGGAGAAATTGCACTCCAATACTACCTTGACAAACAAAGGGTAAACAAAGGGTAAAATAAGACTAAAAACTTAACGTTTAAAAAGTGACATTTTTATGAGCTCCGAGTCACCGAGAAAACTTGGTCAGATGTTAGCAGCTTACTTCCCTGAGGAGGATGGAAGCGTTACATACATCAGGTTCAAAAACAACGAACCTGGAATTGCGTACAAAATTCGCAATTACATGACCATGGAAGAGTACGAAAGGTTCCTACAAGAGAAACCAGCTCTAAACAACTCAGAAAAGAAAGAGTAAAAAGTTTAATTCGTAATTGTTTATTTTTTTACTTGTAAGGGCAAGCTGCAAGTATGAAGTCGACTATCTCAGTCTTTGTTTTGACGAGCTGGACGGCTCTTGCGAGTACGTCTGTTTTGCGGTCTCCAGCTGGTGTCTGACCTTCGTAATTGCGCATGTTCTTGAGAGCTCCAACTGTAAATGGTTGTAGGATGAAGAGTCTCTCAGACTGCTTGAGGTAGTCTTCACGGTCACGAACCGAATCTGTGGTACGAGTCGAATCGGTCAATTTGAGGGAAGAGAGTGAGAGCCTGTCTTCTTCCATTGGGGTAGTAGCATACTCTTTGCGTAAGCGGTTCAGACCTTCCTCGAACTCTTGGTCTCTCTTGGATTGAGATTGGAATTGCTGGGGTGGAGCTTGCTGGAACATCCAAGGGTTGGGGAAGTAAGGCATAGGCTGAGGAGGGTAGTTCGGGAAGCCTTGTGGTGGGTAGTAACCTTGAGGTGGAAATTGGTAGTAAATCGGAGGTACTTGCTGGAACTGAGGTGCAGGGGCTGGTGCTTTAGGTTCCTCTGGTTTGGGAATGGGCTCGGTTGGTGGTACGTCGGACATTCGTTTGTGTCCTGTGGGATGGAAAATATTTTTCTGTCGGAAGAAAAAACTTTTTCTGTCGGAAGGAAAAACTTTTTCTGTCGGAAGGAAAAACTTTTTCTGAAGTTCGACCAAAAAGTTCTCAATTTTCGAAAATTTGAATGGTTTACGGACGGACAACTGGAAGAGTTCTTCCTGTCGTCGGGAAAATTTTTTCCCTTTGTCCGGAAAATTTTTTCCAGTTGTCGGGAAAATATTTTCCTGTCGGATGGAAGGACTCGGAATACCAGAAGGATTTGACGAGGCAATTTACCTTATAGAGATAAATGAAGTTGTTAAGCAGTACTTGCGCAGGGTAATGAAGCCCAAGGTCAAGTTCACCGCTATTTCTGGAAGGGCTGCCTTGAATCTCGAGACTTCGACTGGAATTCCAATTCAAATACCAGAAAACACTCCTTTCGACGACATAAAGGACGCCAAAAGAGAAACTCTTGTTAAGTTCCTAAACAAACGTCCTTGGATAAAAATACCAAACAAGGAGAACCCCCTACCCCATATGAAATTGGCAATTCAGTCTCTCCTTCGCTTCTCGGGTCAACCATTCTACATAACCTGTGAAGGCGACATCCAACCAGTTCAGTCAACCTTAACGTTTTGAGTAAAAACATTTTTTTTCATTTTTTGAATGAAGCAAGTTAAATTCGTCCCACACCAATCTCAATGGACCGATGAAGAGTTTCAAGCCATAGTTGAAGGCGTTGAGAACGATATAGACGGCGAACTTGAAGGAGCTCAAACCACAATTGCAACCAAAATTGCAGAAGTCAAGGAACAGATAGCTCCACTTAAAGCTACCAAAGTTACTCTTGACCTCATGGATACTTACCGTTTAGATGTCAAGAGAGGAATAAGACAATTAAAATTAAAACTCTTAAATTACGAAGCTATACTCCAGAAGTTAGCAGAGATGAGAAGACTTTACCAGAGCTACTTACATGTAAGGGACTTACCTTCAAGCAGTCCGACCAAAGATGAATTTTCTGACATTGTCCCAATTTTGTCCGAAAGTCAGCTCAGATGTTTTGAACTGCTCCCAACATATCCAGAATATGAACGTTTGCCTGAACTCTTCCGCAATCTCAAAAAACGTTTTTTGGTTCTCATGTTCGAAACTTTTATCGGAAGAGACAACAAACGTTCAGAAGAAGAACAAGATATTATTTTAAACTTGTTGTATGACATAACTGTCATAACAAGCTTTTTGAAGTAAAACCGCCATTCTCAAACCACTTCATTTTTTCGATGTCCGAACAAGCACCGAAGCCGAACACAATAGCAGATGTCCTTTCAAGGTTGCCAGACAAGCGCCCAGTTCAAATTCAAATTGCCCAATTGAAAGCTCATCTGACAAACACCATTAAGACTCTCCAAAGTAGTCTTATGACAGAGATGACCAATCTCAAAGCCGATGTCCTCATGAACCAAGCTTCCAATGAGAAATGCCTGAACGATTTCACGGAAACCTTGCGCAATTACGAGAGAGAGAACCGAGACCTTGCCAGACTCATCTACCGTTTCTTCGAAGAGATAGACGCCATCTGGAAGGTACTCGGAAAGGACAGAACATGCAACACCGTACTTCGTGAGTACCAAATTGAAGAAGGAATTGTCGAGGAAGAAGAGGAAGAAAAGAAACACGAAGAAGAAGAGGAAGAAGATGAAGAAGAGAAACACGAAGAAGAGGAAGTTTGGGCAACCCTTGTTGCCGATGACGCTTACGAAATTTCCCAACCCTACCCATACCAAATCCGCAACAAGGAGACAGGCAAGGTTCTTACCCCAGTCCTCAACAACTTGGGACACTTGAACCTTAACCTTCGGAATCGCGGTTCAATCTCCATGGGCAAGCTTGTCGCAATTCAATGGGTTCCAAATCCAGACAAGAAGACGAGGGTCAGACACATTGACGGTGACAAGCTCAACAACCGTAAGGAGAACCTCGAGTGGTTCTAAGAGTAAAAAAATTTTATTTTAGGGGGAAACCCCAAGTAAATTTAGGTGTTTATTTGGATAAGTATGTTAAATTAAGGGTAATTTGCAAAATTAGTTCCCGACCTTTGAATTGGGCTCTTTCGTTATCCCAGTTGCGTAGGAGGTCGTCCCAGAGGAGTTGGTAGAATTGCCAATCCAAGGACGATTTGTCCTCCCAGGCATTGAGGATGTACTGCTCGTAGAGTTTCATGACCTCTGCCTTGCACCAGACACCCTCTCCCTTGGAACGTAAGGCTTCTTCGAAGTGCTCGAATGCGATTGGCTGCGTGACCATCCGAAATGACACTTTTTGTTCCGTTTTGGTCAATGTTTGTGTCTCGTGCCATAGTCGACGAAAAATACAGAACAAACAGGTTATATATGAGTTTGAGACCAAGAATGGTGTAACTCGACCTGTTCCGATTCAAAGACTCCGAGGGCGACCATGAAATTAAACGGAAATTAGCTAGGAAGGAATATAAAATGGACTGGTTGCCACCACCTCCACCTCCACCACCTTTACCTGTTCCTCAAGTAAATAAGCCTTTCCCGTTCCCAAGAATTCCCACATTTTAATTCAAATTCGAATAAAAATTTTTTACTTCATGCAATGTTTTATTTCTGTGCCGTCTTCAAGTATGCCCCAGTACTTACGCTTGGAGAGGACATGAACTTCGGAAAATACCTTATCTAGCTTAAAACAGCCCATCTTTTCACCGACCATTCCCATTTCAATGAGTTTGTTATAGCCTTCTTCGTTCGTCATGAGTGCGTCAATGTTTCTCATAGTAAACCACAACTTTCGATTTGACTTCGGAGAAGAATTTGTTGTAGTTGTCAAGGACTGCTTTTGCGAACTGAGGGTAAGACCAATGTTCGACAATAGGTTTTAATGTGGTTACTAAGCCACTTTGACCTTGAGTGAATTCGTACTTCAAAACAAAAGGAGAAAACCTTTCAACAAAGTTGTCGCTTCTCATAATGTTTACTCTTCATCTCTTGAGGTTTCTTAATGGAATATCCCCATGTCGAATTCATAAGCAATTTGAGTGTCATTGCAAGTTTGGGGTTTGAAGCTTTCCTAATATCATACAGTTGTTGTATGACTTTTCCAACTGTATAGTTCCTTCCCGGGAACTCACCATCTTCGTTTGGAATTCCAGTCGAATATATTGGACAAACCTCATGTATGCAGCGTTAAGGTCGACATAGTATATCTTTTCATCTGAGTCGAACTTGTCGCAACCAATTGGTCCAGTTTGTGGAAATTCAAGTGAGTCTCTTATCTTCTGAGAAACTTCTCCTGTTATCTCATAAACATCGTCGAAGCAACCTGTTTCATATAAAACCTTCTGACCTAACTCAGATGCTCTCCAATACAATTTGACGTCAATTGGATGTCTCAATGGAAGTTTGTTTATAGCATCTTGAAGTTCTTGCAACCTCATTGGAAGTTCTTCTGGTTCAGGTTGGTATCCGAACAATCCAACTCCTTTTGGAATTGTGTACTTCTTTTGTACTAGAACTTTGTCTGGAACAACTTTTGGTCTTGCTAACAATGAAAAGTTTGTTTCGTCTTTTGGTACAAAAGTTTCTGTCAGCTTGTCATCTGGAATTGGTTCCAACAAACCTTTCTCGAAAAGAATGTTTACAGCTCTGACAATGTTGCACTTGCCTTTTCCGAACAATGGTGGGTTTGTAAGACTTTCGTTCAACATGAAGTGGTTGTGGACAATTGCAATCTTCAACCATGGTAAATTGAACTCAACAACATAGTCGTCATGTGAAGAACCTTTAGCTGTAGGTATGTTGACTCGGATATTGACATTTGCCAACGGTGCAATTTTTTGCCAATTGACCTCTGAGAATGTACCTTGTCTTCACACATGACTCAAGATACTTCATCTTCTCTTCTGAAACAAGACCAGAGTTCCTGAGACATGTAAGAATACAAGGTTCATTGACAATTGTTTCAATTGAATTGTAAATTCCATACCTTGTCAAGTCAATGTCAGACTTATTTATGAACGGGAAGTATCCAGCATGTTGTCTGACTGCTTGAGGGTTAGGTTGGTACCATTCGAACTTGACACTTGCAATTCCTTCAATTGCATTCAAAATGTCTGAGTCGGAGTCAACCATTTGTTCTCTCTTTGTAGTCTTGAAAGCGTCAAGAAGTTTTGCAGCTGTTTGTTCATTGCCATTTGCATAGTAAATGTGACCATCCAAATCCGTTTATGGTCAATCTGAGATTGTGTCCTTTCTTATTTCCGTCTTGAATTGCAGCAAGTACACCCATGAAGCCTTCTTTGTTCTTTCCTTCGTCAAAGTTTACTGTAAAGGTTCGACCAGATGTAATTTGACTTCTAACTTCACGATACTTTTCATATGCATATCTTGTTCTTTCCATGGGAGCATGACCATCCTCTGCACTACCTTTTTTCCTTCTCAAAGGATGCAATTGTTCGTCATGTTTCCAGTAGAATCTGGCAAAGCCGTCGTGTCCTTCAACTTGAGGTTCACTAACATCGAAAGGCATGTCCATAAGACGTTCTTCTTCTAACCTCTCTAGTCTGTTTGGATAATTGGCACGTGCTGTTTCCAAATCCATTTCGTAGCGAAGACCAGACAATTTGTCATAGACTTTTATGGGTCTTCCCTTCCTATATTTAAACTTCTTCGAAACTCTCCAACCATATCTTTGTAACTCTGCTTTTATTCTAGCAGACTTTCTATCCATTCTATATGGGGGCATTTTTATAAAAATAAAAAAATATTTTTTTTCTTTACTTTACATAACCGCCTGCTGCCATAAGTCTTTGACGCCAACCCATACCAGCTAATGAAGGTTGACTTGGTTTAGTTTGGAAACTAAACTTTGGTTTTGGTTTATCTTCAGTTTTTGGTTTTTCTTCTTCTATCGGTTTTTCGTCACTTTTCGGTTCCTCTGACTTTACTTCACTTGCAGGAACAGTTGTGTCGTCAACATCTTCATAAATATCATATGCCATTTGTTTTGTTTTCCTTTCAACTTTTTGTGTTTGTTGTAAAGTTTAGAATATTTCGACTCTAAGTCAATGAGATGTTCTATAATGAACTGTTGGTCAGTGAAGTAAACTTTTCCATCTGTTGTCTCGAAAGCTCCTTCAGACTTCAATATTTTATTTGTGAGAGTCTGTTTCTTTTTGAGATACTAGCCGTTCCATTTCTATGAAAAGTGACTTTATAGTTGGGGTTTGTATTTCCAGACCTGGCACTTTCTATTATTGAATTTTTCTCTTCATCGGTAAGTTCTTTGACAGGTTTTGACAATGGTTCTGAACTTTTTGTTTGTGGTGTCAAATCTACCGTTTCAACTTCTTCGGTCATTTCATCTCAGTAAAAAATTTTAGTTTGGTTTGTTTTCAACTGGTTGTTTAGGTTTTTTAAGTCGGTCTAAAACTTCCTGAGGTATAGGAAGAACTTGACAAACACGTGGTGTAACTGCTGGAAGTCGACAAATCCATCTTGAACCCATTTGTCTCAATGCTGTATTGTTCATTTCATCTCAGTAAAAAACTTTACATTCCCCACGTTTGAGGGGTTGAGGTTGGTTATTGTTTACCCATTGTTGTGCATGGTTATATCCTCTGTTAAAGAATCTTTCACCTTGGTCCATATAGTGTCCTGCTTGGTTATAGTAGTCATTTGCTTTGTTATAATAGTTTCCTGCTTGTCTTCCTACATTGTCCATCCATCCTTGAACTTTTCCTCTTGTTTCAGGATTTGGAATAAGATTTGTTGCATCTCGTGCTACATCCCAACCTTTCTGTACAGTTTGTATAATAGGTTGTGCTTTCTCTTTAAGTATACCTAATGTACTCAAAATCTTCCTTCCAACTCCAAATACACCTCTGGCTATTGTTCCCACTGCGGGTAAAAATCTGGATGCAACTCCTGCTAATGCGCCAAATAAACCATTTCTTATAGGGTAAAAAATGACGAATTCAAACAAGGACCCGTATGTTTCTAAAGCAACAAAAAAGCACTCATGGTAAAAATCTTTAGTTCAACACCAAATGCTTGGTTTATGGATATCTTGGAAAACATTCCGAGGTATAGAGAAGATGGACCACCATACTGGCTAATATTTGTCGGTCAAAACACAAGATACTGTGAAGCCATACCATTATGGTCCAAAAATATTTTAGATGTGAAAACTGCTTTGACAATATTTGTTGACAAATACCATCCAACAAAACTGACATCTGACTGTGAAAGTTCTTTCAAATCAGACGATATTAAAAACTATCTGCGTTCAAAAAATGTAAACCAATATTTCATTGTCGACCAAAACCATTCTGCTCTTGGTGTCATTGACAGTTGTATAAAAATCTTAAGAGACTTAAATCAACCACAAGGTGGTGAAGCAAATGAAATGTCATATGACGACAAATATAGACACTTCTCCATGGCAAAGATGAGACAAGTTTTAAATATTTACAATAGCCGTAAAAAAAAGGTTTGGGAAACCACTCCCCCGAAGAAATGAAAAACAACCCTGACTTAGAGAAAGACTATATATTTAATAGTTTAGTCAAAAGAGACAAACAAGAAAGAATGCCAGGCTTCAAACTTAAGAAAGGTGACAAAGTAAAAATAGAAATACCCAAACGCGACCCATATGAAAATACTATTGACTATGACAACAATGGGAACTCGACAGGTACTCGCATTCGTGTTCGTAAAAATAGAAGAAAGTATACAAGAGAATATTATGAAGTTTTAGGCAAACATGGCAAAATGTACACACTGCAAGCAGAAGATAAAACTACTATTGTCAGACCTCGTTTCAAACTTGTCAAAGTTCAAGGTGGTATACTTTCAAAGACAGTTCCTAACAAATATAAGACAACTCCTGACGAATATGCTAAAGAAGTTGAAAATGACGACTAAGCATTTCTATACCATGCGTAAACTGTCATGTAAGGTGGCATGTAGTCTTTACTTTGTCCCGTTGTTTGCGTATACCCTGAAACGCGATGTATATGGTTTCCTCCTCCCTCAGTGTTACTCCAGTAACAATCTATAGCAAACTTAACGTTGTTTTTAACATCATATCCTTTACCTTTTGTCATTGATGACCAATCCCAATATCTATGACTATGCCAACCTGCGTTAGTTGTACTTAAATCTATGTAGTGACTGTGCGCAGGTAAATTTGCACCTGAAATCGTTTTACTTCCACCTGTTTCCTTTGAAGAGTTTGCACAATACAAAAACCTGTCGACTATTTGAGTCCAAGTTCCGAGACCAAGTACTACTTCTGGTCTGGTAGAGTTCATTGACGTATAAATAGAACCTATAGGATATAGTGTTTGAAGTATTTCTGTCTTTAACGTTTGAAGCTCTGTTTTGTCAGCTTTTTTATCATATAAATCTTGAGCAGTGAATTTAACTTTGTTTTCATCCTCCATGACATAGACATTTCTACATTTAATGTCTTTATCCGATGTTAAACCTTCTGGAAAGTTAGGAGGTTTAAAATATAATCCACCCCCACCAGTTTTTTCAATTGTTCCTAAAATACTTTCTATACCAACAGTTGAGAAGAAGTTATGTGTATGTCCAACGTCACTTTTACTGTTTAAGGTTTCTTGTAAGTTTGTAATATTTGCAATGGTATGTGTATGGTTCTTGTCAGCTTTGCCATCTAACTTTTCTTGTAAGTTTGTAATATTTGCAATGGTATGTGTATGGTTCTTATCCGCTTTAAGGTCTAAACATCCTGAAACCCACCCTGTATTGGCTTTACCTTCTAAAATCTTCGATGTCCGTTCATGGTACCATTCAACCCTTTTTATAATTTCATTGTCTTTTTCATCCACATATTCCTTATCTGCCTTCTTCACTAACCCACTAGCCAGATATGCTAACTCATCGTCAACATACTCTTTGTCAGCTTTCTTTTCAACATCCTCTTTTGTTGCATATGTTGCATCTGCTCTGTCATGTTCTTCTTGAACTTTTTCAATGACATACTCTTTGTCAGCTTTGTTGTCAATATCTGCTTTCAAAAGAAGTTCTTTTATAGGCTTCTCGTTTAAAGTTCCTTTTGTTGGATTTACACAAACAGTATGGTTCTTACTGTCTTGAAACAGAAACTCGTCTGTCAATGGGTTTATCGTCAGTTTTAAGTTTCCTTCTTTCAATGACTCAGATATCTTAGAATAGTTTGAAAAGTTTGTTGTGTTCTTATTTAGAGCTTGCAAAATGAGTTGTCGGTTGTGTTGTATTTCTCTCATAGACGCTGTTTCTTTCGACATTTTTATTCTAGATAAAATATGCTTTCAATAGAAAAAAAAATTCAAGAGTTGCTACAACTAAACCATTAGATGAACTTTTTACGAATGTCGGTCAAAAGTTTGAGACAGAGACCGTAAAGCATGAAGGCTATCGTTTTGACTACCCATTGAGATGGCTAAGAGACCCATCCGTCACAAAAGCTGTTGGCTTTCGTAGAATGAAGTTCATTTCAGAAGCCATACATGGTTTCCCATTTACGGTCGCTTTTGAAATTCGATACTATAACAAAGAAAAACATACGTATGAGAAATTTGAACAGGGAAAACTTTTACAAGTGAATTTGCTTGTAAACTTAGAAACAACTCTTCAAGCTTTTCAAGAAAAAATAAACGATATCTATCTCGAATATGCAAAACAGTACAACATTGACGAAGGAGAGTACCATCTCGATATTATATATGACAGGAAAAATGCAACTGTTAAAATCAATAGAATAGAAGACCTTGGAGAAGACGTTTATATTTCTACAAAATATAACAACTTGGCATGGTATAGATTTTTGAGGATGTTAAATCAGCCTGCAGAATATCCAGTACACCCGAACTTTTATGAAGTCGAAAACCCTAATGGAACATATGAAAATGTTTTCGACTCAGATGCTATTATCGTTCATGCTTCATTTTCTGGTGCACAAAACTCTTTTTTATGCTTGGCAAATGACTTTTACGAAAAACCTACAAAGTTATACGAACCACCAAGTGGAAGTATTTCAGACTTTCAAGTATGGTTTACTACAGATGGAAGAAAAAGAATAATTCCATTATACCATGCGTTTTACTTAGAACTTAGTTTCATATACAACTACTATCGAACGGTAAAAATATAATTTTTTAATACGGTTGAGGTGTTGGATTTGGTTGCCAACTAGACTGTGGTGCAGGTTCAGGCTGTTGTATAACAGGAGCTTGTTCTTCTGGTTCAGGGTCTTTAGGTATAATACCAACGAACTGACCTACTCTTTTACCAATATTTTTGACTCCGTTCCATACTCCCCTTCCTACGGTTTTTATTCCATTCCATATACCTCTTCCAACATTTCGAAAGAAGTTTCCTATTCTTCCAAAGAAACCCATTTTACTATATGTAAAAATCTAATGTCCACCTAGTCTCTTACGTTTCCTGTTGAGTTCCATAGCATTTTTTAACTGGAGCTCATACATTCTATTTCTCCTCTGGTAGAAAACATACTCTGGGTCAACTCCTGTGTTCGCGTCATCTGCATAAAGTTGTTTATATCCCACTTCAGGGTTTGTATAAAACTCTTTCCATCTCATATTTGCATACCATGGTGGCAAACCTAACGCAGCGTCATTTGACATGGCAGTTTGCATTTGTACATCTGTTGGCACTTGACCATAGTTTGCCATTGCAGTTTGTATTCTAACTTCATTTGGAATATTCTCTGGGTTTGGTTGTCCAGGTTGCTGTGCATTCGCTAAGTTCTGTGCGTCCATTTAATATTAGATAAAAATATCTCTTACGAGTACATATGCTGAACATTTGCAGGCATTGGTTCATCTTCATATTCTCTATATCTTTCTGCCACGTCAAATAAATAAATGACACAATGGAAAAAACCTAAAACAAGTAGTCCTATTTCAAACCACATTTACTTACTAATAAAATTTCTTTGTTATGACACTTTCTCCAGTTTATAGGACCTCTCTCATATTCTATCTTGTCATATCTAAACTCATAGTCATGTATGTCCTCTAACCATCTCATAACGGTTTCCAAACCACTTTTATCGGATGTAAAGTAAAAGCATGGATGGTTATGTAAAACGTCTAAAGTTTCTAAAGAGTCTCTCAAAGTCCAGTCTACTTGGTATTGAAAATCCCATGTGTTATAGAACGGCGGGTCCACTATAAAGAAAACATTTTCCTTGTCTTTATATTTTTCATACAAATCTGTCCAATGACATCTCACAAACTCTATACCCTCAATATATTTTTCTATGTCCTCTTTGAAAACATTTGTATAGTTAAGATATAAAACTTTTGACATAAGTGTTTCAATGTCATGAACTCTTATAGCACCACTATATAATAGTCTAGCAGATATACTATCCCAGTCTATATATTCTGCTTTTTTCAAAACCTCTCTCACAATATTTTTCTTATCTAATGGTATACGTTCCATCTTACCTATAGGTATCTTTTCTTTTAACTCTTTCAATATTTTGTTTGTGTCTGGAATATGTTTGAGACGGTCCATATAGTTGTCGAAGTCATTGCATATAATCTTTGAGTCTGGAAATATTATATGGCACAAATGGGATATATAGAAACTTCCACCGAACAAATCTACAAATGTTAGACCATTCGGTAGTTTCTTAAGTTCTCTCAATATAATATCTTTACATCTACTCTTATTTCCAAAGAACGGTAACGGTGGTTTTGTAAAATTCATTTATATATAATAATAAAAATGTTTTTTCCTGAAAAGTGACAGAAAAGTGACGAAACATGAAAACATATATATATTTTGTGAAAAGCTCCTGGAAGACCCATATATAAGAACTTCATTTATACTAAACATCATCAGGGCTAGAAGGCACGAAGTGCCTGGAAGCCCCAATACCTTTTTTTTTTTTTTTTTTTTTTTTTTTTTGCTTCACTTGTAGAAATTATTTTGAAATTAATTTTTTGTAATCGACAAGATACAATTTTGTTATGACCAAATGTTGTCACTACTAATTTAAATTCCATTTACAACAGCTACTTTATAAACATCCATCCAAAATTGAAGATTCCTAAAATTTCAAAATGGAAATATGCAATATGAATGATGAAATCATATCCAATAGTTATGAAATTCATCATACATAAGATAAAAGATAGAAAAATAAGCAAATATGAAAATTTAATGCATAATGATATGTGAATAACTGTAAAATTGCAAAACCACATCAGCATCAATTATTGGCATAAATATATATTCTTTTGATTGTATATGCATTTCTGTTTTGGAAATAACTTTCAGATTAAACTTGTTAAGCCCATTCATAGATAATTTGCACGAAAACAGTTCTGAACAACTTAGAAAATGGTCTTTGTCTAACTACCAGAAATAATTTATTGATAGAAATGTCTTTTAAAAAAGAAAATTTCATATTAGGCATCCGTAAAGGTTTTTGTTTGAATGTTGGGGGTTAAGGAGTGTAATAGTCAAGATATTAGATAACTAAGTGTATGAAGTTGTCATCTATGTTGATAACAGCGGAAAATTAAAAATAATTATTAAATCATAACTTTTTGTCTCATGAAAACCATTAAAAAAGTATAAAACTAAAGGTTTTTGCATGTGAACTATAGAAAGCTTTAGATTCATAAAAACTAGATTTTTTTTTGATATTTTGATTTTTGAGGTATACTTTTAAAAGTGGATTTAAAGCACTGATGAAAAAACATTAACTTCTGTCGTTATGATTATTGATTTAGACAATAATGATTTTAATCTTTGATTATCAAAACACTAAAGTCATCTTTTTAACATTTGCTTGGTAGCATTAACTCAAGTCTAAAGTACTATTTTATGTGGCACTCTTAGAATTTTTGTATTCATTGTACACGCTGAAATAGTACCATTAAAGATATGACGAACTTTACAAAAAACAGTTAGGATACTATAAATCTAACTGCCAATTTATACACTTTCGGCTAAGGAGAAACATAATAAATTTGACGCTTTTCTTAGCAAGGAAGCCATATTTTTGATTTGATATCATTTTTTAATACAAATTTATATGTGTTAATGCGGGGGTAAACGATAAGCGCAATTACTTTTAGCAAACATACTTTGAAAACCAATATGCTATAATTTTATATTATAATTTGAATAAAAATTGTAAATTGTTAGTTCTTGATGCAGCATTCAAAGATAATAACAAGATAGAACGATTTTCAAAAAGGAATGTTTGATTTTATCATTGAATTAAAATAAAATTCTAATAGTAATATATATGTCTGTGTTATAATGAAATTGATGGTATACGTTAGCACCAAATTACATATGCTAGTAAATACAAGCCACATAAATAACATTTTAGTATGTCTGCAACCTTTTTTTTTGAATCATGAGTAAGTAAGAATATTTTTGTAACAAAATGATATCATGTATCGAAAGAACATACTTTATTGTTGTATCCTCTACTTTTCCAAAGATTATTGTATCTCAAATCTTAATTCTTTAGATGGTAAACAAAAACATTCATGCAAGAGACATTCCAAGGAGCATATTACACTGTAGAATCTTGAAAAAGTTGGAACTAATTAATTCACTCCAGAGGAGCAATGTTGTATGCATTCAATTTTAAAATAAAAAAAAACTATATATTATCGAACTTAATACTTTGGGTTTTCATATCTATATACTTCTTCCAATGAACTAATTTCCAAACAAAGCTCTTGAAAAATCTTTAAATATAAGATGACTTTTGCTTATATTTTTTGATTTCTCGATAGCAATGCTAGGATATTACAATATTTCCATGTATTTTACTAGGTTGTAACTAGTTGGCATAAGAGTACATATATAGAATCGCTCCGACTATATAATATAATGTTTATTTAATATTACTGTTTATTTTACAGCTAAAGCTTAAACTTATAGTGTATTTATTTTTTAACTGTCTGAATAATGGCAGATTATTTTAATATTTAACATTGATATTGAAATATGAAATAATGCATTTTTCCTTTTTAGCTAGAACACTTGTTTGGGCAATATTTTTCTTTTTTAAACACCAAAATCACATATTTCTCTTATATATATCTATTTTTAAATTATTTTGTTGATATTTTGACAATTTGAGTTAAATATCGATTTAATTCTATTTTTATGGGTAAAATATATATGTATATATCATATTTCATTATTGGTTTGTTAATGCAATTCAATTCTTGGATCCTTGAGTTTTCATTTGAAAGTTCAACTACAAATAAACCTTTCACTGAATATAGGTACTAAAATTTCATTCTAGAATAGCCATTCTTATGGTTTTATCAATATAAAACAACATTATATTTTTATATATTCTACTTGCTAATTACTTTTCTAGTTTCAAGATAAAGTTACTTAATCTCCGATAAGATGCATGAGATGTGAATTGGAGATATCGAGCATGCATATTTCCGAATATACTACTATATTATGTACTATTGTGGAAAGAAATTAAACTTTGTAAACTGAATGAATTTCATATAATGGTTGTCTGGCAGCTATGATTTCTCTTTTCGTATTTATTTTTCCCGAAAATCATTCAAGAATTAGGGGGCATTAACAACAATGATAAAAATGGCATTTTTCTTAATTTTTTTTGGAAAAAAATACATTTCATATTTATTTGTTCTTAATATAAATTAATAATATTAATTTACCTTACAAATGAGTTATGTAAAGTATTCAAATTTTAACTACAATTTTTATGCAGTCGAGCAACAGCAGATGCGCTTTTGCTTGATTTTTATTATCACCAGTGCCGTCTATAGTAAATAGTTTATAAATAGAACAACTGCACTCTTAATTATCACCAAAATAAATCAAAGATTTTAAAAATTGATTGTAATTATAGTTAGATTAACCATCATCACTTGCAAACTGAACTAATTTACTACTTCTCCAATTAACACTCATGAACAATGTTTTTTTAAAAAAATATAATTTTTTATTCTAAATTTTACATTAACATGTCATTTATTATGATCTCATAAAACATATCCATATATTATAGTTACAGTAATATTAAAATTTCAAATTTTGAATTAATTTGGTTATATTATGACCATTAAGCCAAGATCCCAACTTCTCTATGCTATCTATGAATTTCAACTCTATATGTAACTAACACGTTATAAGTTTTGTTTATAAATATAAGGTGCATTTCAGTAAATTACTCTTTTATAATAGTTCTTTTATTACAGCTATAAAATCTATACTAAATCTATATGTTTTTATACTAAATTTATTAATTGTAATACTAATTTTAATTGTTGCTGATCATATGCTAAATTTTATATGAAATCCTTAATTAGAAACTTGAGTTGAATATATATTATATGAAACAATCGGTGTTTAAAAAAAATACAGCTTGATTTATATAGTAATTTATGCTTTACATGTATTTTATATAAATTTTTATTGAATTCAAATATTCAATAGTTTTTTATGCTAGATTAGTTGTATTTATTTAAATATATTATATTGGCAACCTTTCTTTACCCTGTCCTAATAAACGCATTTTGTAAAAAATATAGTGCATCAGTTTCGAACTAGCGTCCCCAGTACCCAATAGTAAGGGGTAATAATCATTCGACCATTTGCCACGTAAAGCATCGCCAGATTTTTTTGTATTTAATCACTCCCAAAACACTGTTTTGGCTTATTGGAAGCATATCAGACATAATCGCCATAATCAAAAAATCTATATACCCAATAAGTAATAAATTTGTCGATATAGATTTTCCATAAAATTAGTTTTTAGTCTGATCTTAAAATAAATTTAATTTTTTGTAAAAAAAATCACATTTAAAAGTACCTTTTTAGTAGCTCGAAATCCTGTTGGTGGATTTCGGGCGTACTTCAAAATTAGCTTTTCTTCTACATATGCAAGCTATATTTTAAATATGGGGCAAATCGGATCGGCGAAAGGAGTTTAGTTACCTTTTGAATCAGCGTATTAATTATTAATTACATGGCTTTTAATCACAAAACAGATACATAACAAGATTTACATAACATAAACAATAAAAATCGATAAATATACAAATAAAATATAAAAATCATCCCCAGTAATAAATTGGAGTCCTACGAGGTGATCTACATTTTTCTGGTTCTAATTGTCTTCTTGCAGGCATTGGCATCAAACCTGATAAATTTTTAGAATTATCTCTTAATAATTCATTAATTCTCTTCCGCCCTGCTACTTTTTCCACTATCTTTTCATCCTTAAACTTTGGGTTGAGCTTTTTGTGTACGGTTGATCGTTGTCTTTCCTCTCTTTTCATAAGACGAACAGTTTCAAGGAAATTTTTATCGATAAACGATTGCATGTCATTGGTTTGAATGTCACTCCTTTTCTGAAAAGAGATTCGTAGGTGTTCGTTATAATCATCTAATGGATGACTTCTTTGATATCTCTGGGGCATGGCCTTTCTAGGATTGCTTGTTGTTGGCTTTTTACTAGGTTCAGCAACGCTTGATCTTGCTGTATTAACATGTCTGACATGAATCATGTAAAGAATTTTTTTTATTTATATATTTCAATGAGATCTGTTATCAAATTCAATTATTTTACGATAGCATGTTTAAGTTTTGTATACCTATTTAAAATCTACCATTTCACGAAAGTTGGAAATATTATGTAAACTATTCAATCATCATAATTATTTTTTGCATTTATCATAGATTTTCCAACCAAGGAAACAAAAATGGCAATGAAAGATATTGTTATTTTTGAATGAATCAGGCCAATGTATTAGTTATAATGCACACAACCATTCAGATTCCAATTTCGAAATCAATTATTGCGTCTTGGAATATTTATCAGGTAAATTAACGAAAGAATTGACTGTACATGATGAATATCGTACTGTTTCTAGAATATTGATAAATATAATTACATTGTAATTAAATTTCGATTTTTAATTTTGATCATTCATCAGTTAAACATCATTATCCAGCTTATCTTAATCATGAAAATCGTAGGTGCAATATTAAATTTATGATTATCCTTATTGAAATATGAAATACGAAACCTCGAAAAATTGAGGGCGCCCTGCCCCCTTTATAAAAAGTAATCACTAACTAATATAGATTAACAATTTCATGAAAAAATGTGATTTTAAATGTCTGGCATGATTTGACATGTAAACTAAAAAACCGAAAAGAGTACACGCTACCATATATACAATATATATATGATGATATTCAACTTCTGCCATATAACTTTTAATCAATTATTGATATTGATTTCGATTATTTTGATTAAAAAATTAATAATCTAGATTCATTATTTTGACAGTAAAATACATATAACATTTATATCTAACAAAATAGTATAATTGAAAAATAAAACGGAAAAATATCTTCAAATATAACTAAGGTATCTTAATGAAATCTCGTTGGTGCAATTTCACCTTTATGCAATTTTGCTTTTGCGCATTTTTGTGAATTCTATGGTATTTCATTTGGTTGAGAAACTTCAATTTGGCTTGAAATTCCAGGATATTTTGAAATTTCATTACACACTGAATTGAAGTGGTCAACTAAGTATAAATACGGTTGGATTTGAGTCCAATTTTCACAAAACCAACATACTAAACCATCTTTTGAACGTGTTGCTGCTCTATCAATTTTAACATTTATAATTTTAGCTAGTTCTGATGCCAAAACTAGTGCATCTTTTTTCTTTTGGTAACTGGAATTGTCTATAAATTTTTTTATTGTAGAAAACATAGTCTTGCATTTTTCAATTCTTTACAATTCTTTAGTATGCTCTACTTCATGTCTAGGAGTGATTCTCTTTTTAGGAGGATCCCTTCTAATAACTGTATAAATGTGCTGTTCACTCATTAAAATGGATGTATTCAATTTATTTTTATTTTTCTATTGAAAATAAAATCATTTAAAATTAATACATTTACATCATTTAAATCATTTTTAATCTATAAGTTTGATCGACAAAAATTGACATCAATAATTGAATGACATTTCTCAAATTGGAAAAATTATGGATAAGGCTTTCTTGTTTTATTTCGCACATCCATATACCTAATTCTCCAAGCGAGGTAAATATAAAAACCAGTGATAATCATTTAAAATTAATCATCGTCTTATGATTTGGTGAAATTACAAAATATTATATATTTTCACTACACCAAGCTGAAAATCATTCGGTGTTAAGATTCAAAAAATTTGTTGTGATCTAAGATGATATATTTGACTTGAATTCGATGTTAGAAAGAAAATCTGATTCTGAATAAATTAATATAATAAACGAATAGGTTAACAAGTAGCTAATGCTTGGCTACAATACACTATTACATTATATAAAGTTAAAGTCTTTTTATGAACATAACATTAATAATTTTGGAAAAAAATCATTTAAAGGCAAAGAATATTAACACAACATGATTTTTGGTCATTCTTAAGTAAAATCAATATATTAAACAGTGTTACTTTAAACTTTCAAATCTGATTCATAAATGAATCATCATCACATGATTTAATTTTAGTGTCTTAGCTAATATCAGTTGGAGTTATTTGATAGTATGTGTTAGACAGTTTAGCAAAAGAAGTTGCTGGTGGAAAAATAAAAAAAGTGCCAATGGAGTCATTGAAAGTAAATTTTGTAGGAGATACTAACGTCGGAAAAACATCTATCATTCACTATTACCTGAACAAAGAGACACCCGTTACACCAACAGTTGGCGCTGATTATAATGAAGTTGTTTTAAATGGTGATGGAATTGATGTTCAACTTAAGCTATTTGATACGGCAGGACAAGAAAAGTACTCGGCCCTAATGCCATTGTACTTCAGAGATAAAGATATATTTATTGTTGTTTATGATTTAACATCACTTGAATCTCTCCAAAACGTCGAAAAATGGGTTTACAAAATACACGAACTATCCGGAGAAATACCTATTATTATCGTTGGAAATAAATCAGATTTAGAACCTCAAGTTCCTCAAGAACAAATTGAACAAATAATAATAAGAATAGATCCTCGAAAATCTTTTCTTACTTCAGCTGTTACAGGCTCAAACGTTAAAGAATTATTTGAATATCTTGCATTTTCAAGAGATATACAAAGAACTCCTGAAGATCCAAATCTCATTCCTCGAGAATCAAAGAAGAAATGTTGTTGACTTGGACTATTGTTATGTTACTCTTATAAAGCTTTCATTAAAATATTGAAAACGAATATCGATATTTTTCTTCTTATTTACGATAATATTTGATTAAGTCTGTGAATCATCAAATTCTTCTCGTCTGTTTTTGTTTCTTTTACCAAAAATTGTCAACAATTTTTTGAGATTCTCTTAATTCTTTTTATACATGCATATTAGATTATCAGAGGAATTAAAAATACTGATTTTTATATGATAGAAACACAAACAAAAATAATTTTTTTTATTCATTAGACTTCAAATTGGTCTTCAGCTCTATTCATTTGAATACTACGAAGCTTTGCTCTCACCTTCGAAACAATATTGCTTTGCTCAGTTATTTCAGATCCAATCATGGAACCAGTCAACTGGGAAGTATCCGCTTCTCTGGTTGCTTCATCAGCAATTTGGAGCTGGTCCCATTGCATTTTACGATATTTCGAAACAGTTCTGCACAGGCTTTCCGTTCTGTAAATAGTTTGATCGACTGTCATTGAAATATCCTGAGATCCTTTGGAAATATCATTTACTATATCTTTAAATGAGTTTTCTAATTTCAAATCGTTACTAGATTGCAATGTATTTATCAATTCTCGCAAATTCGAGCTTTTATTCTGTCCATAGAAGGCAATGTCATTATCTAAATCTCGCATCTGTTGTTGTCTATATATTGATTGCTTTTCTTCAAGCTGTCGAACTTTTTTATCAATTTCATCATTTTGAGCATCGATTTGATGACCATACTCTGTAAGATATACTTCATGCATCTGTAGTTTTCGTAATTGATCATTAAGATTGCTTTCTTGCTGAATAGATGTGTTTAATATTGGAGAAGTGGCTAAAGTAAGCTGATCTATCGCAGTTATCATATTATCATTAATACGATCATTTGAATCATCAATGTCGCTTGCATAAAATGGTGGAGGATTCTCAATTGTTTTCTCTCTCGAACGAATTAATCTTGATAAGTATTCAAACTGATCATTTATTTGTGAGTTGATTGTATTTTGAATGACTATATCTGGTATGATTTGAGTTTGGAATTCTTCTTGAATGATTGTCTTAACTTGGTTATTAAAATCAACCATAAACTTATTTGTAAAAGATTCAAGCGAAAGTGCGTTTTCTATTAAATAATTAAACTCATCGATTACTGAATTTGAAAGATCTTTAAGAGATGAATCCAAATAAGAGATAACGGATGATTCGATTTTGTTCTCTGTTGATTTTTTAGGCGAATTCTCTTTTGTATTAGCAATTACTTCACTATCTGTATCATCAAATGCGTCAAATGCACTCATTTTTGGAATTGGAGTCTTTGCACTCCTTTTTTTCATTAATTTCGGTGGTTTAGACTTTTTTTCTTCCGGTTTGATCTCATTCTCACTTGGAAGACTGACTTGTTCTAGTAAAAGATCTAAATCAGCATCTGAATCATCTTCTGTTTTCTTTTGCATAATAATTTGTCACTTTTTGATAATTTTATAAATTTGATTTTTGAACTTGTTCCATTTCTATATCATAGGATGCTCAGAAATCAATCACACTCTAAAATAACATAGAATGAGATAGTACCAAACTAATAAATGCAAGTGGTTGTCTAAACTTTAATCACTCAGAGATTTTGATTGTTTTGAATATTCAATAAATCTTGATGTTTTAGATTTTTTTGACAAGTAAACTTTACAAAAAGTCAACAACTTTACAATAAAAGATTTTGTAAATTTCACTGATGAATAAAAACTTAAGGGCATCATCAGCGAAAGATAACAAAAAAGCAAAGACAACGAAACCTAAAAAGTCTGTTGCATCGATCTACAAGCAAAAAATGGATGAAATATCGAATTTGTTGAATTCGTTATTTATCTCTCCGCAAGATTTAAAGCAGATCAACGAAATGTTCAGTAACATTGAAAACGAAGGTAACAATATTGACCCAAAGAACCCTAATAATGAAGATTCCCTTCAATTTCACATGCTGTGGAATAATTTTTTGGAAAATATCCAAGAATATTTCAATATTCCGCCACAAAAACGTTTGGAACATTTCATAAAATCATGTGCGAGACAGCTTTTCGAATTAATGAATTCACAAGACTTCGAAAAACTCAAACAAAATTCGTCAGTTACAAACTTCTATTCACTACTTGATTCTCTTGCCAACAAATACCAAGATGATATTGAACACACTCAGGATTTGCTTTATCAACTGCAAGCAACGCTTATTCAAATTAAATCTAGTTTTGAACGTTTTGAAACTAAAGATCAGTGCGGAGCAATCATTTCAAAAATGATACAAGCTACTGAAGAGATGGATATTAATGAAAAGAACGTAAAAGCAGTTTTACAAAAAATTAACGACTATACAAATTATTTCAATCAAACATTTCCATCTGAAGTTAACAAAGAAATCGAAGAAGAGGAAGAATCATCTTCTTCACCGTCTTCAACCTGGAATCAACCAAATGTTGACGTTCAAAAAGAAAATAAAATTGAACAAGAACGAAAACGATTATCTGATGAATTAAATGAGTCATTAGCCGAAGAGCAGCGTCTTAATACCATTCTCGACCAAATTAAAGCTGAAATTGCTGCAACAAGACTTTCATATTCAAAATTCCAGCTGAAAAAGGCAGATATGGACGTTATTAATGATCGTAATACAGCAAACAAAGAGCTTCAGACCCTTCAAAATGAAGTACAAGACTTACAAAACAAAATTAAAGATCTTGAAAGACAAAAGAGTGAAGCTATTAAGCGACAGAAGCTTGATGAAGATCAGCATAAGTATTTTGCTGCTGATGCTAGCATTTATAATGAAATACTCCGTAATTCTTTGAGATATATCAAACAATACGAATCCCAAGTTGATTTAAACAACAGAGACATATCTGCTATTATAAAAGAAATGAAATCAACAGCTTCTGGCGGAATTGAAGGCCAAACAGTTTCATTTTCAAATCGTCAGCTGACAGATTCACTCAAGGAGCAACAAGCAGTTCAAACAAAGCTGTTGGATGATAAAGACTTACTTATTCAGCAGCAAGAGGACTTCGATCTCAGTAAATTACTTGATGTCAGCTGTTCAAGTGTTTTCCAAGAAATAAACAATGTAAATGAAAAGATAGAAATAGTAAATAAGCATCAAGAAATGCTTAAAAACGAAAACAACGCATTGAGAGTTCGAAAACGGATTGAAGAAGAAAATATGGAAACAAGAGCTAAAAGACTCGAGGTCGAAATTAACAAATGGATGCAGAGGATTGATGAAATGAAGACGTATGAGATTGCTGACGTGCCAAAACCAGTTTTAACAACAGAAATTATTTATCGAAATGAATTTGATGAAATTCAGGATTATCTTGATGAAAGAAAAGAAGTACAGATGAAATATCATAAACTTAAGAGAAATGAAAACTCAGATCCAAATGAAATTACAAAACTTAAGAAGAGATACGGAGAATTAACAAATAAAATAGCTGATAGTGGTCACAAAGAAGTCTATGAGAACCTCATCCGCTTACAAACTGATCTGTCCTTGCTTAGAGACGCATACCGAGATGCATTGAAGGAAAGCATCGACAGAAGAGCATCATTCGTCAACATGTTCGCTGCTGTCGGTGATTTGGAGACAAACATTTGCATGGCATTAAGAGAAATCGAAAAAAGAGGTTTGAATTGCGACTTTGACGAAGAACTCACTGATTTCATCGCAGGAATGTTTGTTGATAAGCTAAGCAAAGCGGCCGAATTGAAGAAAGTCTATGATTGGCTCGATGAAAACTTTGATGATCCTTCTGTTAAACAAGAAACAAAGCTCATGGATAAGCTAAATGCAGCTCTCGATTTTGTCCACGGACCTGACTCATATTCTGATATATAAGTCATATCTTTCTGTTTGTTTGTAATTTAAGAATAAATATTATCCATTGTATACTTATGTCGTTTTTCTGTTGAAAGATCAGATTTCAAAATTAAAATTCCGTCATTGGCAACCTCGCTGATAGTTTAATCTATCTGTGATGTGCCATACATATTCACAGATATATTGGTCCCTATTGATTGATATTAAGGCCAGAAACTTTTCAAGAGAAAATGAGGCAACAATATACAAACCATTTTTAGGTGTTTGAAGTGAGCTAACTATGAGAAATCTAATGCAATATATGACATGGTTAAACGTCAATTTGAATATTTTTTTTTATTTTACTTTTCAAAAGGGTTCAAAAAAATTGAGAGAACTCAGAAAATAAAAATAACGTACACTTTACGATACAAAAATAATTGGATATTCTAAATCACTATATGATGAACCGTGAATTCACCATTTTTGAATGAAAATATTTTTATAACTTAAATTGAGCAACAACACTTCTGAACAATCTGACACTACCAAGGATGAATCGGCATCCATTCAAGCCGATGAACAGAATGTTAAAAGCTTTGATGAAATATTTTCAGCAAAGTTGGAGAATTACGTTAATGAGTTCGAACAGCACGGTAGAATGCCACCAAGTGATATGTATACAACTGTTTTGAGATTCATACAGCATAAAAATGTTGACTCGCTCGTGGAAGGAAACTATTTAGCAGCAGCGCGTTACGAGAATTTATTAAATAAATACTTGACTCGTAACAATGTAAATAATGCAAAGGCTAAGCAAGAAAATGATGAATATCTCCTAAATCTCGAAATAAATCAACTTAAATCAAAATTAGCAGATATTCAAACGGAATTTAAAAAGAAAATCGATCAGGAGAAGGACCACGACACAAAGACGATTGCGAATCTTAAACAAAAGCATGCATTTCAACTTAAAGAATTTGAAAAATTTTGGAATGAAGATGAAAATATTCGACCGTATGTTAAAAGCTCAGCAAGGCTAAATAATATGAGAGCCCAACTCAAAAATCTTACACTAACAAAAGACTTTGATAAAGCGGTAGAACTCGACAAAGAAATCAAATCCCTAGAAAAAATTGAGTCAGCACAAGCCCAAACAGTTCTAAATGGCATAATTGAGAAAAAGAAGGCAACTCTCCTGCAAGCACAGCAAGATGAATTAATCAGAGCAAGACAATTCTCGATTAAAGCTGTTGAAGAGATAAATGCGAAACATAATAAGATAATAGAACATATCATGGCTAGAATAACTAAGTTAAGACAAGATAAAGCTGATAATAGAGCAAAAGATCCGATGAGAGGGATTCATATCTCTACCGATGATTCATATTCACCTAGGTCTAAGAGTATAATGAATAATTATAAGCGAAATAGTGTCCCAAAAAGGCTTTCGTTAAAACCTTTGTGTCCTGCAATAATCGTTCCTTTTTCCAAGAGATCTCATTCCCGTATGAAATAAATATGTTTGTTTGTAGATTTTTATGCGCGTAACTTTAATTTTTTTCATTCATAATTCCTTTTGTTTGTGTAGAATTCAATCTAATAATGTCAATTATTACATTTGACCAAGACAATAATCAAAACAATACGAGATATTGGTAGATAGATTTTTATATCAAATGAAACAAACATTAGAATTTTTATGAAAATTTTTATTAAGATTATGATTGTAATGTAGAATTTATTATAGGTAACGGTTCAAGAGAAGGTAGACTTATCTTTTAATTGTGTATTATTCACGATTTCAATTTTTCTCGAATTCTAGCCTAGAATTGTAAATTTATTTTATTATATATATGTGCATTATATTATATGCTAATGGTCTTTTTCCTTGTTGTTTGGTTTCTTTCACACATTTCCAATTCGGTACTAAAATTTTTGAAAAAAGTTTTTTACACTTTTTGAATTCAAAAAAGGTGGTAAATTTTTACAAAAATCCCAAAAATTGAATCAGGTCATGAATCTGAATTTCGAATACATCGCTGCTCATATCAGTGATTATATTCAAAATGAAAACTTTTTTGATACATTCGAAATAGGAGATATCAAAACAATCATGAAATATTCACGTTTGACCGTGGATGAGTATGTTTCTCTTCTCAAACAGTCTTCATCAACGACCAATGCCACAAAATTATATATCTGTACACGAAAAGCAAATGTTACTATCCAAAATTTAGAGGAAGTCGTTTCAATTCTTAAATTCGTCAAAAAGTACATGAAATTCAATATATTTGATGGAATTATTGATATTATCAATCAAAATGACAAAGATTTGCGTGATTCTACAGAAGAAATCAATAAATTACGAACAGAATTAAAAAAATTACAAAATCAAATACATAATACTGCTAAAGAAACAACAGTTTCTCGAGTTAATGGAGATTACAACAATTCTAAAGATTTTTTAACCAAAATCTCTGAACTTAAAGAAACTAGTGATATTTATAGTGTTTATAACTTCCTTGAAGATATTTCTGTGAAAGGCAATCGAGAAATGATTACAAAGGCTTGTGAAGAAGGAATTTTGAAAAAGACAGACCGTAATGAAAAGAATGCACTTCATCTTGCAAGTGCAAAAGGAAATCTAAATCTTGTCAAATTCCAAATTGAATGTGGCTGTGATAAAGAAGCAAAAGATAAAAATGGATGGACACCACTCATTTATGCATCAGAAAATGGTCAACTTGAAGTTGTTAAATATCTTATCTCTGTTGGTGTTGATAAAGAAGCAAATTATAAAAATGGATGGACACCACTCATTTATGCATCAATTAAAGGTCAACTTGAAGTTGTTAAATATCTTATCTCTGTTGGAGCGGATAAAGAAGCAAAGAATAAACGTGGATATACTGCACTCTCAATTGCAAAAGGTAATGTAAGAGATTATTTATTATCTATTGGAGCCGAGTAATATGATATAATCTAATGGAATAATTATTAAAATTATCAATATTCTTATTTCCAAGCTCTTCTTCATATGAATATTGTTTGTTCTTCATTTCATTATGATTCAAATAAACAAATTTATTATTCATATTAATCAATAACAAAAGTATATCAAATGTCATTTTATCAATTGATAGTTCTTCTTCTATTAAGGTTTCACAAACAATTAAAATAAAAATAAAGAGTTGAAAAATAAATGGTAGTCTGTCATTTTCTGAAATAATGTTAGTTGAGGTTCACATTATTTAGATATGTCAATAAAAGTTAAAAATAATGATAAATATAACATTTATTCCAATTTTTGTCGAGTTTATGAAGCCTTAAGGATAACACATTGTCCCAAATACATTGGAACATTCATCAATTTCCTATATCGATAGTACAAATAACATATGCATTCAATGTTCATCCTGTTGTAGTGTCAGTCAAGGAAGCTCTATTACATGTAATTTCTCATCATTCAGAGAAAACAACAAAACAAGATGGAAATCATTTCAAATATTATTGTAAATAAATGAAGAACAACCAATTAGAGAGTTCTAATTTTTTATTGTTGGTTCTCAATTAATATTGATCATTGACTATTTCTAATTCAGATGCTAATTTAAAGTTATATATTTTAAAGTTTGATATATTATCAAAAATAATTATTCGTTGTTATTTAGTCCTTGGAACTAAAAAGTCTGAATATCCTTTTCCAAATTCATTCTTTGCTTCTTTATCTACATTTGGATGAGATAGCAACAACTCAACAATCATTATATGATTACGTTCAGCGGCAATGAGTAAAGGAGTCATTCGATCTTCGGAAATTTTATTTACATCAATTCCATCTATTCCTAGTAAGTATTTAACTGTATCATAACTACCGATACAAGCAGCGTGTGATAAAGGATCATTTGGAATTTTGATGCTTGCATTACATTTTTCAATCAAATATTTCACTGAATTTAAATTTCTTCCTTCAATTGCACAATTAAGTGTTGTGTAGTTAAAAATATCCGGAATATTTGGATTCGCTCCAAGTTCTGCTATATGTTCGAATATGGAACCTCCAGAAGCAGCAAAACAAGAAAAAATAGTTTGATTTTCAGCATCAATAAAGGTATCAATATTAACTCCTTTCTCACAACACATATCCAATCTGTCAACATCTTTATGCAAAGTCATTCCAGTCAAAATTTTGGAAAGGAAAAGATCGCAATTTTTCGTTGCTTCGATGAAATGAACAGTTGGGAACTGAACATCAAATGGGGAGCCATCTATTGGCATTTCTAACGCTTCCGACATCTCTAAATACGTAACAATGTTTCCAGATTCCATGCATATTTGTTTAATTTCGTCGATATTGTTTTCTCGATCAGATAGCCACCTGGCAATATCATATCTATAATTTACGATGGCATCTGATATACAGTTCTCTATTACTCCCCCGTTTTGCTCAACTAATCTTATCATTTCAGAAGATCCGCTTGAAACTGCGCAATGAATGGTCGATTCGTCAACTTTAATATTATTTCCGATTAGAAACCTGAAGCACTTGACTGCAGAAAGTAATGCCGAAACATTTAAAAAAGATCTCCTTTTAATTCCATCATAAATAAATTCAAAATTTAAATCAAAATTCGGTACGGCAGATAGTTCTATAAGAGCTTCAATATCATCATCCACTAGTATTTTCCAGAGGTTTTCGCTCTGGCCTGAGAGATTTCGAAATGAAATTGGCTGTATTATCTTTCTCGAACTTATTTCTATTAAAAATGACGAATTTTGGCACTCTATAGCAAAATCGTTAAGTAAACAATGATGTTTGTATTTAAGAGAATTTTGGATTATTGTTTTTTCATGATCATTCCATTGTTTTGCTAGCATTTCTTGTAATAAGGAAACATACAACTTCACGTATTTGGGCCGAATGCATCCGAAATATATTATATCTCGTATTAAACATCGCAAATCTAGTTTTTCATGATAAACATCAAAAAGTTCGTTCGCTGTTATGCTTAAATCTACATTTGGAGCATCGTCAATGATCTTTTGTGACGTAGCGAATTGTTGAAGTTTTTCGATGTCAAATTCAACGAATTCGTCACTCATAATATAATAAAATCCTCAATGTCAATAAAAAAGGATATGTTATTAATAGCAGATTTTTGATCATAATTAAAAAATGTGTTATTTTATTTGTAATTGATTAATATTATCATTGATATTGTTCATTGTGTATTTATTAACTTATTAACTATCAACTTAGTTTGTTTTTTACACGAACATAGGTATTGGCAAGATTCAGGGCAAATTCTAATTCAATTTGTTACATTATGCATTTTTTGAATTACTCAATATGTAACATTTCAAAGATCGCCTTCATATATATTGATCCAGATAAAAAAAATGAAATTCTTATTTATTCTAAATTAAAATCTAATAACTCTATCAATTGAACTAAGTCTATTGAAAACTTCGTTCTTCTTTTTCTTGAGTACTTCAATAGCTTCTCCAACCTTCATTTCATCCTTGATATACTTCAAAGCTGTGACAGTCAATTCTCCAACAGATTGAGCCTCTCTGATGCTTAAAATTCTTCTTGAAACAAGGTTTTGGATGTCAAACCTTTTTCTTCCATTTCCACTATCAACGGAATAGGTAATAAATGGAACATGTCCAAATGGAAATTCACCAGCAGATCCAAGAGAGACATGAATATCTGAAATAGGTCCTTTGCATTCAAAATTGCCAATCATAGAAAACATAGGAGGATCTCCCTTAAATGGAGGCAAATTTAAGTATCCATCTTTTGAGCACTTCAATGAGGAGAAGTATAATTTCTCCTTCATTTTCAAATCGAAATCTCTCCTGAATTTCAGCTTCATCTCTCCAACAGTCGAATTTTCGTTAACATCAGAGTAAACTGGAATTGAAACCATGAATTGTCCTTGTCTAACATCAAAACCTTTTTCACTATACGGTCTAGTACCAACAACTTCCCAAAGTCCTGCCTTGTTGAATTTTCCGTTCAAAGCATTTAATGCCAATGTTATTGCAGAGAAATAATTCTCAGATAGGCCATGAAGCTTGTTATCTTTCTTGTTGTAGCAGATAAATTCATCTTCATAAATATGTGATGTAATATTGTCACATGTAGCTCTACTTCCTTTATAGAGATTATCTTTTGACTGGAAATATGAAATATTAGCATCAGCATTAAAACCTGCCATTTTTCCTGGAGCCTTTTCCATTTCTTTTAGGAATGGATCAAAACTTGAATACGGAAGTTTAAGCTCTGGCAAATCAAGATTGTGACTCAATGATTTACAAATATCAACAATAGTTCCACCATCATAAAGGGCATGCGATCCTGATACAACAACACTATCATCACTGATAGCAATTGTTCCTAAATTTACATCAGGCATTTTGGCAAAATTATCATCAACAAAATAAGCTTGGTCACGTAATGAAGTAATACTTTTAGGAATTGTATAAATAGGAACATCTCTTTTCTTGAAAACGAATTCATCTCCTTCAGCGTGAGTGTGAAAAATGGCTAAAGAGTTAATTAATTTTTCTGCAACGAGATTTACACTTTTCTTATCCTTACACCTGAATGCCATTAGGATGTTAAAGTTAGGCTTTAGCCAAAGATTTTCATGGCTAATTATTTTGCGTCTCTGTATCATTGATTAATGAATAATGAAGTGACCATTAATTTTCTTAAAAAAAAGCATTGAATGTTGTGAATTCACACCATTTTATGTGCAAGCTATAATATGAATAAATAGGGTCAATAGCAACAATATTTAATAGTATTGTTTTTCAATTCATTCAAATAATTTTTTTTTCTGAACTGTGAATTCACACCAGCAGTTTTCAAATTCCATCAACCATTGGTCTGACAGCAAAAAATGACATCAAAACGGATATTTTTATGAGTTTCCAATAACTAAATACTAATATTTAATTGATTAATCAATAAAAAAAGATGGAATCAATAAATTACTGTACAAATAAGGTATCTTGCATAATTTATTTATAATGTATATGATTTTATTATATTTGCTTTAAGATTACAGTTGATATTTTTAATTAGTTAAAATCATGCTGGATAACACGTACAATTGACTTTATTAATAAAAAATACAAATAGATGGATATTTATTCTGCATTGAACAAAAAAATATTTCATAAGAAACTTTGATCAACAAGAGAAGGAGTTGTAGTTTGAAGTGTATAGTTCTGATCGAACTTCTTCAAATATGGAAGCATATTATCTTTTAATTGGTTTGGAGTGTAAGTTGAATCTTCTTCAAGGAACTTAAAGAGGTAGTATGTAAAGATTCCCTGCTCTTTAGACTCGACTTGAGTTTGTTTAGCTGTCTGCTTGTCAGCTGCTGCAGAGATGGATAAACAATTCTGAGGTGAATTTGACTTATTCAAATCCCAAATTGTTCCACTATGGCAACAGTCAGAAAGGAAGACACACTTGCAGTTTGTGTTTGTTTTGTTCTTGACAACGCACTTTTGAAGATCATCATCACGCAAACATTCAACTTCGCTTCCATTTTCAAAGACATAGGCCTCATCTTTACCAGACTCTTCTTGTCTATCTGTTCCATCGAGCTGTGTGCCGTGGCCTGTGTAATATGTGATCAATTCTGTTGTTGTATTCTGTAAGAAAAATGCAAGCCATTCTAAGTACTGTGCTTGCGTAGGGTTGTGGATAAAGAAGATTGGCCACTCTCTCTTATTCATTGATTCGGCGACATTGAGGCCATCATTCATTGGGCCAACACCCAAAGTAAGATTTGAGGCTACATAAGTGTTAACGCATATGAAAACGCATCTGCTTTGTGTTTTGATCTGACTTTTGTCTGTCTGTGATAGATCTGTTGCGATTGATCGGATGTTTTGAAGATGTGTTTCCATATCACCTTCATATCTCGCAGAATGCCACTGATCTAAGTTGAAATTCAAGCCGAGTTGGCTCATGAGAACACGAGCGACAAGGCGAATAAGGACTTGGTTATTTCTAACGCAGGAGATGATGCTTCCCATTGGTTGCGATCACTTGATTTGATTTTTTAATACAGCCGATATTTGAATATGAATAATCGGTTTATATCAATTATCGACTAAAAATAAAAATAAAGTTATTACTTTTTGTGTACCAGCAATCGACTATATCTTTAAACGATAAAGTTTTGATAGAGATAATCGATTAAATAAAATTGAGAGCGATAAATGACCCTACACTATATATTGATCGATAAATATCTTGAATCAGAGAACCCTATTTTACTTTGCTCATCAGGAGATCAATTATCACTCAAAACCACTGTTTTCCCCTAATTGAATAATTCGATTGCATTAGAACATGAAATTAAACGTCTTATAATACGTCTGTACGCAATTTGGAGTATAAAATAGAGTGTTTCACTCTATTCATTTAATAAAATCACTGTGCAAATGCAAATTTGTCATGTTATAAAATAAACTCCTATATGGAGGTATATATATGATATTAAACATTAGGTATCATAAGTGGAGCTGCTCAATAGTTGATCTATGATAATTTTTATTCGCTGAAGAATTTTATTGAGAAACTAAAAGAATATATTTTAAAATTATAGCATTTATTTGGTGTGAAAGAAAAATTAGTCATAACTACAAACAATTTCATGGTTATTCAACATGATAGAAGTTATTAACCGCATGGAAGCTATTAGAACGGCTTCTCCTTTGTGGAATTATAGGAATACTACGTCCAGGTACAACAGGTCTCAATTTCATCTTATTCATAAGTGAATTAGGTGATTTTGGCTGGGTAATGATTTGGAAAGCAGATGCAGAAGCTGATTTCTTGAGAGGAGCATTGTTGTATTCTATGCTTGCATCGGACTCATCATCATAGTTTCCTTCCACTAGAAGGATATTATATGCAGCTGTCTTCTCAGTAAACAGCTTAGCTTTTAGATCTGCAACGACATCAGCTTTGTTGTATCCAACGCGTTCTAGCTGTCTCAAAATATCGCTCTTAATGTGAGCATCGGAGGACGGTAAAGTAACAATAGGAACTTTTACGAAGAATGGGTGTTCCATGATCTCCTCGAACGTTATTCTCTCATAAGTAGCTTTTGTTAGCATTCTGGTCAAAAGATTCTTAGCATCATTTGAAATTTGAGAGGGAATAATCGGTTTCATTGAAAGTATATTTGTAAACAATTCTGAGCTACTGTCATCTTCAAAGGGATATGCGCCTGTGAGCATACGATAAAGGATTACACCACATCTCCAAACTGTTGTAGCGAGTGGATTAGATTCATTCTTTATTTCTTCTGGTGAAAGATAGAATGGATGACACCTTGAAGTCATACATTTTACTGAGCTGTCCAAGTAATGGCAGTATTCAAAGTCGAATAGTTTGAGGGCATTTGAGTCTGCAAGAGAAAAGCAACACGCTTCAAGATTTCCGTGGTAAACTTGAAATTGAGTATCTAAATAGTTCAAGGTGGAAATTATCTGAGAGAACCATATTCTAGCTTGCTCTTCATTAATCTTACTGTTATTTGAAATATATTCTTCTAGGTTTTCGTCATTCAAATACTCCATCACAACAAAAGTCAATTCTCCTTCTTCAAAGTACTGATAGAATTTTGATGTGAATGGAAAGTTAGCCAAGCTATGGATTTTTATTTCCTCTCCGTAGCGATTATGGTCAATGTATTGCTTTGGAAGAACTCTGATTAGAACAAAAGGCATCAATTTTGTGCTCCTGGCTTTCCAAAGTTCATAGGTGTCTGTTGTATCAAGGAGTTTGATGAATTCGTACACTCCGTGAACGCTTCCTTGCTCAATTTTCATTCAGTCAGAAATGAAATATGTATAGCATTGAAAAGTTATAATGATTCTTTTCAAAAAAATAATAATGGATAACGTATAACATATTTAGAGATGTTCCATATTAAGTTCTGTCAAAATGTAAGCTATTCAATTCTATCGTCGGGGGAAGTATCACAAATCTATCAATTTTTTTGTAAAAGTATACAAAAACATATAGTGTTCAATTAGTTTATAATAATATAAATATTAAGATTATCCAAAATAAGAAAAACTAGGTTTTGAGAACACTTTTGAGATGATAATCAAAATATTTTGATTGAAAAATAATATATTATTTATCAGATAGAGAATGGATTTTTTCAAATTTAAAAATTCTGAAAAATAAACAGTTTTGTAAAGTAAAAAAATGAACGAAAACTCGAGACCTCGTATTCAAAAAAAAAAAAAAAAAAAAAGGTAGTGGAAAAAAAAAAAAAAAAAAAGGTAGTGGGGCTTCCAGGCACTTCGTGCCTTCTAGCCCTGATGTTGATGTTTAGTATAAATGAAGTTTTTATTCGGAGGACTCTTCTTCTTCCTCCATTGCTTCTGGGAAGAAGCCTTCTTCTGGGTCGAAAACATTATATAATGTGTCGCTTTTCACAAATTATATATATTTTCATGCTTTGTCACTTTTCTGTCACTTTTCAGGAAAAAAACATTTTTATTATTATATATAAATGAATTTAAAAAAAAAAAAAAAAAAAAAAAAAAAAGGTAGTGGGGCTTCCAGGCACTTCGTGCCTTCTAGCCCTGAAGATGTTTAGTATAAATGAAGTCTTAGAGGACAAACATGACTATGAGTTTTGATATGACAAGATAGAATATGAGAGAGGTCCTATAAACCGGAGAAAGTGTTATATAAACATCTGTCATATTACTCAGAATATTATACAGAATTCAATAAAAATATATTTTAGGTGAAGAGGTGAGATTTCACCTGTTTTTTCACCTCATTTTTCACCTCTTGAATTTTCATGAATTTCTTCGTAAAGACTTTGTCAAGATTTCTTCGTAAAGACTTTGTCAAGACTTCTTCGTAAAGACTTTGTCAAGACTTCTTCTTCGTAAATGTTTTGTCAAGACTTCTTCGTAAATGTTTTGTCAAGACTTCTTCGTAATGAGTGTAAATGACCAAAAATATATTTTAGGTGAAGAGGTGAGATTTCACCTGTTTTTTCACCTAATTTTTCACCCTCTTGAATTTTCATGAAATTTACACCAAAAATATATTTTAGGTGAAGAGGTGAGATTTCACCTGTTTTTTCACCTAATTTTTCACCCTCTTGAATTTTCATGAAATTTACACCAAAAATATACTACTAGGGTCATTTACGAAGAAATCTCAACAAAGTCTTTACGATGAAATCTTGACAAAACATAGACAAGAAAGTTCATGAGAAATTAGATGAAGAAGTCTTAACAAAGTCTTTACGAAGAAATTCATGAAAATTCAAGAGGTGAAAAAAGAGGTGAAAAAAGAGGTGAAATCTCACCTCTTCACCTAAAATATATTTTTGGGTCATTTACACTCATTTACGAAGAAATCTCAACAAAGTCTTTACGAAGAAGTCACAATAAAGTCTTTACGAAGAAGTCTTAACAAAGTCTTTACGAAGAAATTCATGAAAATTCAAGAGGTGAGAAATGAGGTGAAAAAAGAGGTGAAATCTCACCTCTTCACCTAAAATATATTTTTGGGTCATTTACGAAGAAATCTCAACAAAGTCTTTACGAAGAAATCTCAACAAAGTCTTTACGAAGAAGTCTTAACAAAGTCTTTACGAAGAAGTCTTAACAAAGTCTTTACGAAGAAATTCATGAAAATTCAACGGGTGAGAAATGAGGTGAGAAAACAGGTGACATCTCACCTCATATGTCCTTACTGAAAAAGTATGTGTTCCATCTGAAGTTCTTATATACGGGTCTTCCAGGAGCTTTTCACAAAATATATATGTTTTCATGTTTTGTCACTTTTCTGTCACTTTTCAGGGAAAAAACATTTTTATTGTATATAAAATGAATTTTACAAAACCACCGTTACCCTTCTTTGGAAATAAGAGTAGATGTAAAGATATTCTATTGAGAGAACTTAAGAAACTACCGAATGGTCTAACATTTGTAGACTTGTTCGGTGGAAGTTTCTATATATCTCATTTATGTCATACAATATTCCCAGACTCAAAGATTATATGCAATGACTTCGACAACTATATGGACCGTCTCAAACATATACCAGACACAAACAAAATATTGAAAGAGTTAAAAGAAAAGATACCTATAGGTAAGATGGAACGTATACCATTAGATAAGAAAAATACTGTCAGAGAGGTTTTGAAAAAGGCAGAGTATATTGACTGGGATAGTATATCTGCTAGACTATTATATAGTGGTGCTATAAGAGTTCATGACATTGAAACACTTATGTCAAAAGTTTTATATCTTAACTATACAAATGTTTTCAAAGAGGACATAGAAAAATATATTGAGGGTATAGAGTTTGTGAGATGTCATTGGACAGAGTTGTATGAAAAATATAAAAACAAGGAAAATGTTTTCTTTATAGTAGACCCGCCGTTCTTTAACACATACGATTTTCAATACCAAGCAGACTGGACTTTGAGAGACTCTTTAGAAACTTTAGACGTTTTACATAACTGTCCATGCTTTTACTTTACATCCGATAAAAGTGGTTTGGAAAGTGTCATGAGATGGTTAGAGGACATACATGACTATGAGTTTAGATACGATAAGATAGAATATGAGAGAGGTCCTATAAACCGGAAAAAGTGTCATAACAAAGAAATTTTACTAGTAAGTAAATGTGGTTTGAAATAGGACTACTTGTTTTAGGTTTTTTCCATTGTGTCATTTATTTATTTGACGTGGCAGAAAGATATAGAGAATATGAAGATGAACCAATGCCTGCAAATGTTCAGTATATGTACTCGTAAGAGATATTTTTATCTAATATTAAATGGACGCACAGAACTTAGCGAATGCACAGCAACCTGGACAACCAAACCCAGAGAATATTCCAAATGAAGTTAGAATACAAACTGCAATGGCAAACTATGGTCAAGTGCCAACAGATGTACAAATGCAAACTGCCATGTCAAATGACGCTGCGTTAGGTTTGCCACCATGGTATGCAAATATGAGATGGAAAGAGTTTTATACAAACCCTGAAGTGGGATATAAACAACTCTATGCAGATGACGCGAACACAGGAGTTGACCCAGAGTATGTTTTCTACCAGAGGAGAAACAGAATGTATGAGCTCCAGTTAAAGAATGCTATGGAACTCAACAGGAAACGTAAGAGACTAGGCGGACATTAGATTTTTACATATAGTAAAATGGGTTTCTTCAGTAAGATAGGAAACTTCTTTCGAAATGTCGGAAGAGGTATATGGAATGGAATAAAAACCGTAGGAAGAGGAATTTGGAACGGAGTCAAAAATATTGGTAAAAGGGTAGGTCAGTTCGTTGGTATTATACCTAAAGACCCTGAACCAGAAGAACAAGCTCCTGTTATACAACAGCCTGAACCTGCACCACAGTCAAGTTGGCAACCAAATCCAACACCTCAACCGTATTAAAAAATTATATTTTTACCGTTCGATAGTAGTTGTATATGAAACTAAGTTCTAAGTAAAACGCATGGTATAATGGAATTATTCTTTTTCTTCCATCTGTAGTAAACCATACTTGAAAGTCTGAAATACTTCCACTTGGTGGTTCGTATAACTTTGTAGGTTTTTCGTAAAAGTCATTTGCCAAGCATAAGAAAGAGTTTTGGGCGCCAGAAAATGAAGCATGAACAATAATAGCAGCTGGGTCGAAAACATCTTTAAATAAATATGGTTCATCTCTTGCATATCGACTGTAAATATTTGCTAAAGGAAGTTCGACTTTCTGATTTAACATTCTTTGCAAATAATACCATGACATTGCAGTGAATTCTGTATATATTTGTTCGTCTTTCTTTGGATTGTCTTCGTAGATTTGAAATGACACTTGTGAATTTTGTTTGTCATATACAATTCTCACATAAAGTGTGCTCTCGGTATTTGCATATTCATCAGCATATTTTGCATAACATGAATTTATTTTATCTTCTATATTTTTTAACGCAGTCTGTAGAGAAGATGAAAGGTCAACTTGTATTAGCTCAATTTCTTCCCACATTTTTCGTTTCCCTTCAGATATATAATCTATATGAAACCTTACAATAAATGGAAAACTTTTATCTTCTACAGACACAAACTTCATTCTACGAAAGCCAATAGCTTTTGTGACAGATGGGTCTCTTAGCCATCTTAATGGGTAGTCAAAACGATAGCCTTCATGCTTTACGGTCTCTGTCTCAAACTTTTGACCGACATTAGTAAAAAGTTCATCTAATGGTTTAGTTGTAGCAACTCTTGAATTTTCTTTTCTATTGGAAGCATATTTTATCTAGAATAAAAATGTCAAATGAAACAGCGTCTATGAGAGAAATAAAACACAACGACAACTCATTATACAAGCTCTAAATAAAACACAACAAACTTTTCAAACTATTCTAAGATATCTGAGTCATTGAAAGAAGGAAACTTAAAACTGACATTAAACCCATTGACAGACGAGTTTCTATTTCAAGACAGTAAGAACCATACTGTTTGTATAAATCCAACAAAAGGAACTTTAAACGAGAAACCTATAGATGAACTTCTTTTGAAAGCAGATGTTGACAACAAAGCTGACAAAGAGTATGTAGACGATGCAATAGCAAAAGAAGAAGAAAGAGCTAACAAAGCTTATGCAACGAAAGAGGATGTTGAAAAGAAAGCAGATAAAACATATGTTGACGATGAGTTAGCATGTGTGACTAGTGCGTTAGTGAAGAAGGCAGATAAGGAATATGTGGATGAAAAAGACAATGAAATTAAAGAAAGGGTTGAATGGTACCATGAACGGACAACAAAGATTTTAAAAGCTAAA